AGAAGGAAGAAGACACAGATGCTTCATATATTGTTTACAATTGCCTTATGTTACGCAGTTTCTTGTGTCACTTGTCTATTGTCCATGACTTAATTCGTATCGTCAGCGACGGCTTAACAACATTCAGTGTGTTTGTCATGTGAAAATCACATTTATTATAAGTAATTGAATAATTATATTTGGTATATGGGATCCTTGCAATTTCGACATGTCTGTCAGAGAGGAATGATCCTCATTTCATGGATCAGTGAGTAAACCCTGCGATTCAAACTGGTATAATTCTAGAACTTCAGAGTTGACAAAGGTAGCGACTGTGACTTTGAGATGAAGAACAGCAATAAAAGCTCTGTTCCTTTGCTTTTTGTATGTTTTTTTGTTGTGCATTTACTGATTTTGTGTCATGGATGAATACCCCATATCCTTTGTTTTTCTACTATGAATGCAAGCCAAACCTTCATCTCAGTCGATATTTGAGATCCCCTGGCCACACTTAGGCAGATCTATTTATTTGGGATGTGTTTTACGCAGCCTCAGTTGTAATTACTTTACCTTCGTCAAATTTGAAATTTGAGTATTATACCAGCTCAAATCAGTATGTATTTCTACACAGTCTTTGTTGTAATAACTCAACTTTCGTCACCTCTGACATTTTAGAAATGTACAAGTTCATATCGCACATTACTCTGTTGTAAATACCTAATACCCCCGTCACACTAGGCCACGATCGCACTATGATCTCTGAAAAAAATGCAAGTTTTGACGAACGTAGTACAATCGGGTAGATCGCAGTAAGGTCGTGGTACAGTCGTGGTGAGGTCTTCTTGATCGTGATGAGCGTGGACCAACTTTGAACATGTTCAAAACAATCGTGGTGCGGTCGTAGCGAAATCAGGTTGTAGTAAAAGCGTAGTGAGAGGGCAGTAAGGTCGTGGTAAGATCGCAAAGGTCGCTGTACCATCGTAGCGAGAGCGTAGCGAAAGCGAGATTCTAGTCGGAGAGACTGCGCTACGATCTCACAGCGACGTTACTACGACCTCACTACGACCATCACGTTCTCACCGCGACCCAACCACGCTTCTACTACGACTATACCACGTTTATACCACGCTGTTTAAAATCATAGTACGATTCTAGCACGCTCATGCCGTCTTCATCACGCTCTTCTTACGACCTGACTACGTTCATACTACGACCATTTCGAGCTCTAGTCGTGCTCATTGTCATTGTCACATAAAATATATAAAAAAAGTAGTAATGCGCCTCCAACCATTCTACCATGTTTTGTTCTTCCTCTAAGGTTAGGTCTGCATGTAATTTGGACCTCTTGTCCTTTTGCTCCAACGGCTCAACCATGCTTGACACATCTGTGTCATCCCCACTTTCGTTCACTAAAACATCGTCATTTGATCTTGATGGACCAGCAATAGGTTATGATTCAGGTTGGATTGGTCATTCCGACATCTCTACTGGATCAGGATTCGTATCAGAGGCCCCTCTGCCTCTACCTCTACTCCTACCACCACGCCCACGAGTTATGGTAGATTTTGGTGGCATGACTGTGTTGTTTCCGAGAAATCTAAGTATTAACGAGAAATAGAAGGAATGGAACAGTATTTATATGGAACACGATGTTGACGTTATTGCTGAGAGCGTAGTAAGATCGGGATATGAACGTGGTACGATCGTGGTAAGAGCGTGCTTAAATCGCAGTAGAAGCGTGGTAAGATCGTGTTGCAATCGGATAAATCGTGGTATGGTCGTAGTGAGAACGTGATGAGCTTAGTAAGATCGTGATAATCGTAGTGAGGTCGCAGAATAAGCATAAAGAGAACGTGGTATAATCGTAGCGGGATCGTTGTAGAAGCGTAATGAGGACGTAGTAGCATCGTGAAAACAACGAAAATTTACATTTTCATGCCGCTCATACCGCGACCTCACAACGATCTGAATTTATTTTAGATCGCGGTGAGCATGGTGCGATCGTGTTCTAGTTTGAAGGGGGCATAGCATACGTCATTTTTCAATTGTACAAGCGTTGTTCGATTTTAATTGTATAAATTTAAAGATTGTTATAGTTAAATCAGAAAAGATTGATATTATTCATTTTACATCATAATCATTCTGATGAAGGATATCTGTTATCCAAATATTTATAGATACTTACATGTACATTTAATGTTTTCTTTTTTTAATAAAATGTTGTTTTGTTCACTTTTTAGGGATTTATATATATATATATATATATATATATATATATATATATATATATATATATATATATATATGTTCAGCAAATTTGATCTTGTCATGCATAATTGTGGAGTGTCCACAAACAACTGGCAGGTTTCAACTGATAATTTCCTCGTGTTCATGGTTCATTAGTCAATATTGAGTTTTTGTGGTTGGGTCTGTTTCACAGATACTTTAAGCAATATGTCAACTATAATTGATGTATTGAATTATTGCAACTGTACAAGTATGTGTATCATGTTTGATCTTACCTTGACTTTACTTTCATGCATTATTGGTCGATGTAAATATTTTCGAGGTTTAGTCCGTTTATTCGATATATAAGGAATGGTTAAACTATACCTGGTGCATTGGATGAGTGGAAGGTGTACAATTATGTCTGACAGTGTTCATCTGACCTTGACCCCATTAAAATGGTGCATTGGTCAATGTTTTGTTTTATAGTTATGTCTTTTTCTCAGAAATTATAAGCAAAATGTTAACTCTATTTGATGTATGGTATGATTGTTAGGGGAACATAACCGTCATCTGACCTTGATCTCATTTACCTGTTTCATAAATCATTGTTACAGTAGTAAACCATTCTTATTTTAAAAGACATGCAACATAAATGTAATCACGACAAGTAAAGCAGGCGAGACATTTCTGCGTGTGCACTCTTAGACTTGATATCAGAGGTAGCCTGTAGATTTGACATTAATTCTTAGAAGATGTACATTTTGTACATTGATATTATCTCTTCTGTCTCTTTCAATTGTTATTGTGTCGGCAGATGCATCACACGAATATACACAGTACAGTAATAAAGAGAGAGGTAGAATAGTGGTTTATTAAATGAATTCTGAATTATCTCTATTTCATCGTAATGCTTCAGCAGAGGGTTGGATATATATGCAGGACTCGGAGGTGCGATCGGGACGCTGAAGTGCGATGGGCTATGCCGAAGTGCGATAGTTCGTTCGCTGATGTGCAATGATCTATTTGACGCGTGATGGCTAGTTTAATATCTACACATGTGCAGTTATTATGAGAAGCAGATTTTTTAATAGTTAGTGTATATATTTACATTCATTATTGACTATGTCTGTCCTTAATTCCAGTTGCATACTAAATGAGAGATCGTCCTCTTTGATTTTCTGCATGTGGACATAATTTTACGTTAACATTTTATCTTTACTTTGTTCCTCTCATGGTTTCCTCGTTTACCGTAATATAATAATACGGAGAGTCTGTCTGCGGACCCGTATGTATTTAGAGAATGCCATGCTCCTTCGTACGTAAAAGGAACCTTTTGTTAAGAAGGCAAACTTTCCCCTTTCCACAATCCTCACCGTTTCTCGTAGTAATTAAAGTTTATAAGCCCCTTATTAAATTAAAAACCTGGAAAACTTCTTCTTACATACAAATTGACTTCTACATCGACATGAAAAGCATGGAAAATGTAGTTTGTGTAGACCATCGCACTTCAACGTTATCTCCATCGCACTTCGAACGTCGTAGCTATCAACAAGATAACATCACAATGCGACCATTCACTTCAGCGTGATCAAAAACGCACTTCAGCGTCAAATCATCTCACCTCAGCGTGACCATGGCGGTTCAGAATACCATTACGGTTCAGAGTCCTACATATATACTTAGATTGGGTTCATATATATAAACACCCGCATGCATTGTAAATATAAACCGGCATTACAAATATAAATAGGCATTGCAAATATACTTAGTAACTATGAATATAGATTGGCATTATAGATATTAGCAGGCATTATAGATATTAGCAGGCATTATAGATATAAATAGTCATAAATATATATAGGCATTATCAATACGAATATGCATTATAAATATAAATAGGCATATATTTCATATGACCGAACAACAATTTCAAGGTTTATAATTATATAGAAGAATTTCTGTTATGAATCTTATCCTTTTTCAAGAATCAATATCATAAAGACTTGTTTGTTAATTCAGGGATATCCTGTAAAATACAGCAGTAGAAAATAGTTTATAAAATATGATTATTATCTTTTTAAAGATATATGCTTCATCAAAATGTTATATTATATTGTCTGTAATTCAAGGTGAGACCCCGTATTATCTCTCATGAGCAGGACCACGTTGGGGTGGGATATATTGTTAGATTGGCATTATTCATATAAACAAATCAGGCATTATAAATATAAATATTTATTGTAAATACAAATAGGCATTATGAATATAAAAAGGCTTTATAGATAAAACAAACATTTCATATTTTTCATGTCGGGGCCTTTTATAGCCGACTATACGGTATGGGTTATATTCACATTGTTGAAGGTCGTACGGTTGCCTTTAATTGCTTACATCTACTTCATTTGAACTTTGGTGGATACTTGTCTCAGTGGCTATCATATACCACATCTCCTTATTTTTATATTATAGATATAGATAAACTTTATTAATATAAATCGGCTTATCAATATAAATAGGCATTATAAATATATAATGGCATACATACGATAAGAACTGATTTGTCTTTTTCCGACTTCATACATTGTATGACCGAACAGCAATTTAAAGGTTAAAATATGGTAAGACTTGTGTTGTGAAGCTGATAATTTTTCATTAAAAAAATATCATAATGAATTGTCTGTTAATTCAGAGAATTCGTGTATAATCCAGCCGCAGGAGAAAGGTTATAAAATATGATTTTTATTTTCATAGAGGTTAATGTTTCATAAAATTTATATTGTTCTCTAATTCAGGGTAAGACCCCATATGACCTTGCAGCAGAAGACTCTGATGATGAGTGTGAAGATGTGGTAGAATACTTGCAGGTACATATTTATTTTAATCATATAAAATAGTTCATCAACAATAAAATAACATGTTATATGGTAGATGGACATGTTGTTTTGAAATTATTTTCATTGAGTCATGGGACGAAAATAAAAGAAAAAATATCGAATCTTGTGGCAGAATCTTTTATCTGTATAATCTTAATACCATCAACATGTATAGTAAGGTACAGTAAAACAAATATGACATTGAATCAATATACACAAAATATACATGAGGAAAAAGTTAATGATGTGCAATAAATATGAAGGATTACAGTGCTAGTCTTTATTTTGGAAGAAATGCAATTGGGGATCAATGAACACGAGAAAACAAGACATACATATATAAAGAGTATGTAATAAACTACTCCACAGGTTTGTTTAATTTCACATTTGAATAGCGTCTTCACAATTACACCGGAAAACATTTCTTTAAAAAGGGGTAACCGTTTTAGCTTTTGAGATACCAAATGTTGAAAATTGTATATATGCATGGACTATTACAAAAATCAGCAGACACTTTTACATGAATTTAGCAACCTTTTCTAGTCTACAAGTCCACATATTGTTTTTTAATTGATATATGATTTTAATGGATAACGATTATATTAATTCAGATGAAAAACGTTTAATTTGCGGTGACGTCGCTTCGTATAGCGTATATATAATATCAGGTCACTTTCACACTGTGTAACGAATTTATCTGACCGACCACCTAAAGTAAAAATTAAGACGTAGTTAAAATAAATTATAAATACGTTTCAATTGTAACATGTTACAGTGATCACTATGAATGAAAGTCAGTCTCTCTAAGTTTGCTAATACATGTTTTGTCTTAAATCTTGAAATATTATAAATATGTATGTTAACAGTTTATGTTAAATTGTTTTTTTTATAAAGGAAAGTAACTCTAATACAAACTACTACTAACCGTGTATTTAAAAAAAAAACACGTCCACTGACCTAATATTTAATATACACGGTTTCCATGTGTTCGCTTTTAACTAATTACATTCCAAAAAATGTAGTCGAGGTAAGATAATATTAGTTACACCAGTTGTTAGTAAATTTATTTGGTATATACGTGCGAAAGCCAGCGAAGCTCTCGCCCAAATGGAATTTATTTAACCCGTATATATCGTTATAAATTATAGTAACATTGTGTAACTAATTTATCTTACTGACTATCTTTTTTCAATATGGGGAATTTAGACGTAGTTGTAAACCATGATATCACAATGGTAACACAACACTAAACAGAACATTCAATTATTTACACGAGAAATTCAGCGTCTTTAAGAACTGTTTTTTGCCTCAAAAAAGAGGCGAAAGATACCAAAGGGACATTCAAACTCATAAGTCGAACATAAACTGACAACACCATGGATAAAAAGAAAACGACAAACACACAAACAATAGTACACAAAACACAACATAGAAAACAAACGACTGGGCAACACAAACCTCACCAAAACTTCGGGTGATCTCAGGTGATCCAGAAGGGTAAGCAGATCCTGCTCCACATGTGGCACCCGTCGTGTTTCTCATGTTAGTTCAAACCCGGTAATAAGTCTAATTCGGTAGGTTTCATTCGTGGAAAGGGGGCGGGATCGTATTTACGACATTTGGAACATATCTGATAGAATCTGTGAAACGGATATTCCATAACGGTCAACCAACTCGTGATGGCGTCCGTAAAATTTACGAAGGGGTGATTTTTACTTCACCATTTAGAACTCTTGGTTTAATAGCTTCCTTGTGAGCAGCAAACCTCTATCAAGGAAATCATGATTGGAAATACAATCCCTGGAATCCCGTATCAACTGGGAGATACAGATCTTCTAAAATTCAATTTGACCTATTTTTCGTGCATTCATCATTCATCGTCCGTTCTGCGTGCATGTTCTGTTCATTCATCGTAAATTCAACGTGTGTTCGCTCATTGTTCATCATTCCGTGTGTTTTACATTCAACGTGCGATCAACGTTCATTAATTCTTAATCGTGTAATTTGCACTCAACGTTTGTTATTTCTAGATCAGTCAATATTCATTCAGTTTTAGTTCATTTTGTAAGTCTTGTATAACCACTACGTTCTGATTAGAAAACATTTTTTTCAAATTGCGAGATATTCTGAGAATATTAATTTTCTCATCTACATGTATATTATGATGTTATAAAAACAATTAACTATAATGTGTATTCTGATCAACTGGGAGATACAAAATGTATATACTCCGTATGCAGGCTCTGCTGGAATGTTGCTACATAGAAATGGAAAGTTCACAATTGGGAAGCTGAAATCAACTCTTTTGCCGTTAAGTTTTGTTTTCAATCGACCCTCATTGTCAATTTCCAGATGTAAGTTAAGATATAAGCCATACTTAACTGTTGTATCCTTTATCTCAAGTTTGATGGGATAGATGTCAACATAGTCACCAAATTTTGAATTATTTAGTGATGAAGCATGAAACATTATTACTTTGTATTTTTTACAATGTATGTTAATTTGAAAACACCACCGTTTTGATTTTTTTTAAAATGAACGTAACTCTACTATTGACTGTGTATGTCAAATAAAACACGCATGCTGACCTAATATTAGATATGCACGGTTCCGAAGTGTTCGTTTTTTATATTTCCAAAAGTGAATAGAAGGTTAGATAAATATTGATACTCATCACTTCAACTGTTCGGCTATCAATTTAACATTTTGAGGCACTGCGCCTAATATTGACTAAACGTCAATGATGCAGCAACGCAACCGCAAAAATAACCAAAAAAGACACCAAGAGGGCAACATACAGACATAAAAAAAGACTCGTTGTTTATAAAGAAGTAGGAGACATATAAAGGCTCAAACCGACCCAACATGTCACTTGGTGCATTATAATAGGAAAACTTAAATGTTCGACAGAAAGAAGGAATCAAGTTACACGACGTAATGAAAAGACTACACACACGTTATTATCAAAATGGCACAGAATACTAAGTGTTCACATGAATTCATATCATCTATGTGCCAACATTCCTTTTAACCGTAGAAGAGAATATATTTAAGAAAGTAAATAGCAAAACATCAGTTTAGCACATTCCAGTGGCAGGCATCACTTTTACGATCTCCGCTAGGAGTAAATGTCACCGTCTCGGATATAGAATTTTCGGACTTTTTTGGGATTAAAATACTCTTGCATACAAAGGTCCAACATTTTGAGACTTTCAAAACCACCTCATTCTGCATTTATTAGGAATGTGATACATTTCTGAAGCTCATCATTTTATTATAGCACGTAGATAATTCTAAAAATCCCGTTTTGTCGCGTGATAGTATTCGTTATAGATATAAGAAGATGTGGTATGAGTGCCAATGAGACAACTCTCCATCCAAGTCAAAATTTATAAAAGTAAACCGTTAATGGTCAAAGTACTGTCTTCAACACGTAGCCTTGGCTCACACCGAACAGCTATAAAGGGACCCAAAAATTACAAGTGTAAAACCATTCAAACGGGAAAACCAACGGTCTAATCTATATAAAAAACGAGAAACGAGAAACACCCATGAACCATATCAACAAACGACAAGCACTGAACATCAGACTCCTGACCCAGGACAGGTGCAAACAATTGCAGCGGGTTCAAACGTTCCAATGGTACCAAACCTTTACCCTTTTTCTGAAACAACAGTGTAACATCACAACATAGAAAGACACACTATAAAATATCAACTGAAATGGCTTAACTCAATCAAAGGACATATTAACACCAGTGAACATACACTGAACAAATAAATTTGACCTATGATACAATGTAAATACAAACTAAATATCTGGATTACAAATTATCAGACGATGAATATATGATTTTTATAAAAAATATATCTTCTTTACAATAAGCACCTGCAGTTTTGATACGTATTCAGGAAAAACCTGTTTCCTTATTACAGGAATACGTATAGACATAATCTCGGAAATAAAGTCCTGTTCTATTTGTACCTAAAAGACCTAACACGAATGTATACTATTGACCATATACCTGTCAACATTTGCAATATTCCTGTCAATCTTATTAGAAAGGTTCTTGTTTTGTCTGATTTCGATTCGATGAAATTACAATATCCACCTAACGCTACGTTCATGTGTCATCATAAAATATGTGGTCATTCTTTCGATTTGACTATTGAGAACAAATTGTTGACTAAATTTATACTTCAACCAACGAGTAAGGAATAACGGTTTAAAGTTTATAGTAAATGATTTGTTGATCCACAAATGCGGACGTACCTTTTGATGACAAAAAAACAAAAACAAAAAAGCTGGTTTATGTGTACGTTTTCACTGCTTAAACTACCGAAGTCAGTATTTGCAGCCTTTGGAACACGTTTTAGAAAACAGTCGCTGAAGTTAACAATAGAAGGAAATCGTATTTTTTTTACAACAACACAGTGGAAAAAATGTTTCAAAAGTCCAAAACAATATGACGTCTTATTTGAAGGCTGATAATTTAAGGGTATATGCATTAACTTTCATATACAAAAAATACCATCAGTAGAAATCTCGTTTATCAATTTTTGAAGTATAACCAACTATAAGAAGTACCATGTTATAAAGTATATATAATGTGGGATTTAATATGCTCCAGCTGTCAATTTTATCGTTGGGTTGGGGAACATTGGTATCCTCTTTGCATAGTCTTATAGAATTTCTGTCTTTATTTATTGTCTACAAATTATGATTATTCGTGACAAACAAATACGTTAGGAACACAATCAATTATCAATTATAATTTGGTGGATAACTTCTATGTGAATATAAAAGCTTAGATACAATATGATTACACCAGTTGCTATTTAAAAGTTTTATCAGGTTCGCTTTTCCCTCTGAGGTATAAAATGATTCTTTAAATCCAGTACTCAGTACCTCAGTTTATTGCTTTCATTTTACCATTCATTTACTTAAATTTTAAACAAGTTTCGCAATATCAATTTCAAATACACCACATTTCACATTGCTGTTATCATGATTTTGATTTTTCATATGTTGATACGGACAAAACTATGTAATTATAAAACAGAATTAAACAAATCCTTTCTATGTTTTTCTTCAATATCACATTTCCCTTATCATGACCTTATTCGCATATACATTTAATCATGTAGTAGACATTCAGTGCGTTTCTTAAAATACATAAATAATAAAATAAAAGTAGTTCAGCAATTGTGTTCCTCCCATAAATAATATTGAGAAAAGACGTCGTAAATAGTACTACATGTAGCCTAAGTACATACAAGTTAAAGAGGCTTCCACATTTTTGCCCTTCTGCTAAGTGCACGTTTATTTATTGATTATATATATTTTGCAACTGTGCTGATGATACACTTTTAGTCGAATGCGATGGGGTATATGTATGTCCCCACTGATAAAAGCGTGAGCAAAAAATTCCAATTGACATTATGCCAGTACTTAGTTGTATGCTGAAAATGAAATGTACATGTTTACATAGTTGAGGAAGCATGAAAATGAGTAAAAACAGTTTAGAGTCCCCACTACCCCTTTACGAAGCTAAATAAATGGTTAATGCAAATACTTTTTATATGTCTCACATCTTACATTGCCTAGCCCCTGTCATTTTAAAAATCCTGGATTTTCTTTGATGTGAAAACTCTTTAAACTCATTACAACACAAACAGTAAGAAAACAGCAGAAAATAGCATTTCTTGTTCCTACGATACATATTCTCACTCGATATACAATTCTTACGTTGTGTTATGTTCATTGTTCCCATCAAATAGGCACATTTGCGCCAGAAACTACTATACATCTGTATATAGATCAAAACATACTACAAACTATTTCGGACCAAAAAATCTACAAATATAGATAGAAAGCAAACAAAAAGATAATTACAGGGCACATAAAGATTATTCTAACCTTGCAGGGAATAATGAATGATTGATTGATTGTTTTCTGTTCATTCAACGCCAATTATATTATGCGGTATAAGAACAAATGAACGACCAATCCATAGGTAAATCTGCAAATAAAACAGAACAAACAAAACAATCTTCAATCTACACTCAGATTCTTAAATAGCAGAAAACTTAAAGATATGCCATACGACGGCTATTGATGAGGTTCCAGACTTGTGATTAACCCTTACCTTTTTATTTAGTTTTCAATAGCAGTATATCAACCAAGATTAAATAAACAAATAAAAATATACATCTTATTTTGCCTTTACTGGTAAAAAATACTTGCACTGATATATCATTTTAACTCTAATTCACAATATTTCCTGCCTTGACCAACCCCCTCCCTCTTTTTCCTTGCTTGGTTCTTCGTTCCTTAACTATTTGTCAAAGCATGAAATAATATAAAATGAAATGTTGAATAATTTAAACGATATGTTTGCAGTATAAACCCATTTTCAATCTATTGATTTCAATCTGTATTTGTTTCGGAGTTTCTACGAGAACGACTGACACCGAATAAAAAAAATGGGAACATTGAACAAGGGTTAGTGAACTTCTATTTTTTGTAACTTCCAATTTAGACTAATGAAGGAAAATTCGACACAATAATATTGTGTTGCAAATTGCAATCTAGTTTATCCCCATTAATCATTATAATTTACTTTTTCACTCCGTTCATAATGGATATTAAAACTTTCTCTTTGTTTGTCTTTACATAATGATTCAGGTCAGCTCCTGACTCAAATTGAAATAAAAAAGAATACAACATTCAGATACGGTCTGTTTTCATGTTTATCACTGCACTATATGTAAACTATTTTCATCATTAATATAGAATTGTACTTAGCGACACCAAACAAAATTTGAAGTTATACAGGAAAGTTTAAACATATACACTGCCTTTGAACTATGGCAATAATGTTGCAACATGCTGTAAAATTTTAAAGTATGCGGCTAAAAAAAGCAAAATAACGATATTGCAGTAGTTTCGGATTATGGTATCTGTGATTTCTATATCACCTCTCTAGTTTGAATTGTATTTGACCCTACTAGTTTCGTTTACTTCACTGTACTCACCATAATCGTATTTTGTGTTATTTCATAGTATATTTAATACATGTTTTTGGGCATCTTTTTTGGCAAGACAGTATATTAACTTATAATTTTATAAATATTGAATGAAATATACTAACATGGTTTTTGGTCTTTCTGTTCTGTAGACTTTCATGCCAAAAGAAGTAACACCAGGAACATCTCAGCAGAAATATGCAAGACCAGCAGTTAGAGGTTGGACTTTAAATATAGATAAATGTAGATCTTGGGTGTTCTTCAATGAGGAAACTGCCTCACAACATACAAACACAGTAACAGTTCAACATCTACACATACAATTGAGAATGGAAATGGGGACATGTCTATAAGCTATTCACAGCTCCAATTCATTGCGAAACATGAAAAGTTGTAAATGAATTAAACAGAGACTATCAAATATTTCCCATCAAAACAAATATCCCTTATTGACAAACACATTTAAATTTCACAAAATCTTTCCATGTAGTTTGTTATTCATGAAAAAGGTATTAGATCTTACATGTATCGAAGATTTTTAATCTTGTGATATCTAGAAATTAATAAATCTATCGATTCACTGCTTATACATGTACAAAATCTGCGTGAAGTACATGAATGTATATTTATATATCCTTTGTACTGATTTCTTAGGATAAAAATATATATATATATATTAATATCAATTACAGCTGATATCTCTTCTAGCTGCATTTCTATGCTTAGTATACATATCTCACTCCGATACAATATTTTGTGTCTCCATAACAAATCTTATGTCCTTTGTACGGAGTACTTGTGTGTTACTACACTGTTCCAGATAAGGGACAGGGTTGTGTGCTCACAGACATGTTCAGCCTAACCACGTTATGTTCCTTTGTTTTCCTCTTATAGTTGATGTGTTTCCCTCGGTTTTAGTTTGTAACCCGGATTTGTTTTCTCTCAATCGATTTATGACTTTTGAACAGCGGTATACTACTGTTGCCTTTCTTTTTATGCCTGTCTCGAGCCTGGACTCTATAGTCCAGAGATTATCGTTAGTTCCTTTCTGCCATATTTTTTCTTGATTGTTGTAGTATGAATCAGGAATTTGCTTTTTAGCTCACCTGACACAAAGGGCCATCACTTGGTATCCGTCGTCTGTCATCATAATCTTGTCTCCCCTTGAAAAAAAACTACTTGTCCAAATACTTTAAACTTGATCTGAATATTTATTACGTTGTCTGGTATTGAATTGTATCCGTTTATTTCAGCTCTCACTAATCATGAGTGCTGTTGCTAAAAATAGATCATCGGGGTAAAATGCCGTTTTTCATTTATCAAAAACAGAAAGCAGTTTTAGATAAATGAAAATTTAATGTCAAGTAAAGATATATCTGTCATGTAATATTCAGACGAATGTGATTACCTATTCTAGAGTTATTGCCCCTGAAATGTTCATTTTTAAGACATTTCACGGTTTCATGTTCTAACTTTAAAATGTTAAAATTCAGCAAAGTAAGATGTACAGATATGTCAAATGTTCAAACTCGTGAATTAACCCTTTATTAAATTTGAAAGACATTTTAGCAGAAATTTTAATAAATACTTGTAGAGAGAAACATTAAATGAAAAACATGCGGTCAAAGTAAGATAAACAAATAAGTCAACATGACCGTAAATGTATTTATTAAAGTTATGTATGTAAACATTACCACGTGTATTTGATTATAATTAATACACGTGTTGAATGTATATAATAGGTTAAATGTTTTTCATTGGTTGAGTTAGAACTGACCATAATATTTGAATAAGGTCAATTCAAATATTTCGTGCTATACTTTTGGCGGTTGTGTGAATATAAGATATTGTCATTCGAGGTTCGCTTTTGGTGCAGTAAAGTTGTAAGCTAGTGCTTAACCTGAGTATGTCAGAGATTAGAAAAGGAAGTCCAATGTCTGAAGGTGAGACTGAACATTCACACATTTCAACTGGCAATTCACAAAGTCGCAACCATATAGTAGAAGAGCGCCGTGATTTGGCCGACAACTTTGAACTTTTTAAAGTGTATTTTGACAATAAACTAGTTGATCTCAAATCAGATTTGTTCCGTGAACAGGACGTTATTTCGAAAAAGTTAAAAGAAGAAGTATCGCTAAAATTTAAGCACGAGGGCAATAAAATCCATTACAAGATTAACGAGGAAGTTATTACCGAGCTAAACAAGGTTTATAGCTTTGTTCCCTGTTCCGAGACGAAGGTATCACGTAGTATCATAGAACTCATAGACAAGGTTAAGGGTAGAAACAAACTTTTACGCAAAGCAGATACTTCAGGCGGTGGTTGGGCTACTGTCAGAGAATACAAAGCAAATGTCATCGCTTCGGATTCCGAAGATGAAAAGAAAATCCGTCAGGCGGAGTCCAGAGCCATGCGTACGGTTAAAGATAAATCCCTTGGTCCACATCCTTACAAGACAACTTCTAGACCAGCTCCTGTTGAAACTGCTACTTATCCTTATTATGTCAATCAGTACCAGCGTCAGAACCCGCCGCCCCAACATGATATGTGCCATGCCTGTAAACAATTTGGTCACTGGAGGAAGAACTGTCCACTACTCAAACGCAGCCAGTTCAACATCAGCAATATACCACAGAACAAGTAACAACGAACAGTTAGTTAATGATAAGTATTTAAATTTATTTTCTGGTTTTGATACATGTTGATAGTGATTATTGTTTAAATCACGATATTGAGAATTTGCTTAGCCTTTTAAGATTTTTTGAAAATTTCAAATCTAACACGGGTATTTTATCTGGTGTAAATGGAAGGTTAGCAAAAAGTATTCAGTACTGGGAGCATATTGGTGTTAATTCTTTTATTTTAGACACATTGAAAAATGGATATCTTATTCCATTTATTGATAATCCTTCGAGCATGTATATGAAAAATAATAAATTCTGCTCTTCAGAATAATGAATGTGTTAGCAAATCTGTAAATGAGCTTGTTCTTTCAGGTTACGTTATTGAGGTCTCATTTCAACCTTACATTGTCCATCCGCTTAGTGTAGCTACCCAAAAGTCTGGGAAAAGGCGTCTAATTTTAGATTTGAGCACTTTGAATTTATCGGTGAAAAAAGAAAAGATTAAATTTGAAGATTGGAAAATAGCTGTGCAATACTTTCATAAAAATGATTATCTGTAGGTTATTTTCATTTGGATATATGTCCACAGCAGCACACTTATTTGGGATTTTCGTGGGAAGATAAATTCTATTGTTTCACTGTTTTAGCATTTGGTCTTTCCACGGGTCCTTACATATTTACCAAGTGTCTCAGACCATTGGTCAAGTATTGGAGAAAAAATGGTATAAAAATAGTTTTATATCTTGATGACGGATTTGGTATGAATAACGACAATAATGAATGTATCAAAGATGCTGAATTCGTGAAACAATCACTTTTGAATGCAGGTTTTTTTCTAAACGAAGAAAAATCAGTGTTTGCTCCAATACAGAAGTTGCAGTGATTCGGTCTTATTTGGGATTCTTGTTATTTCACTTTATGCATTCCTCAAAGGATAATTGACGAATTATTACAATCAATTCATAATGTTTCCTGAGAAATTCCATATAGTTCTGCCAAAAATTTAGCCCAGGTAACAGGGAGAATTATAAGTATGTCTCCAGTGATCGGAAATATTTCTAGAATAATGACTAGATATTGTTATATGTCTATTGAAAGTAGAATGTCATGGGATAGTTATTTAGTTTAAGAAAGTAAAAGTTTTGTAATATCAGATTTAAAGTTCTGGCTTGATAACATTACAAATGTCAATTTTAAAACATTAAATCAATATAGTCAGTCGCATGTTATGATATATTCTGATGCTAGTAGCATAGCTGCCGGTGCATGTACAGTAGAGTTGGAAAGTAAAATGTTTCACTTTGTGTGGAAATTCGCTGAAATGTTAGAGAGTTCCACGTGGAGGGAACTGAAGGCCATCGAATTGGCGTTGATGTCTTATCAACATGCATTTTGCTGGAAAATCTATAAATGGCTTACTGATAATCAAAATTGTGTCAGAATTGTTCAATCAGGAAGTCTGAAAGAAAAACTGCAAAATATAGAAATTTCAATTTTTTCTATTTGTTTACCAAAGGGAATCTCAATAAACATACAATGGATTCCTAGAGGCGAAAATTTTCAAGCTTATTATATCAGTAAAATCATTGATTATGAAGAATGGGGTGTTTCAGAATTGTTCTATACTTTTATAAACGACCTTTGTGGTCCATATACAGTGGATCATCTTGCTACTTCTCGTAACGCAAAATTAGAAAGATTCAACTCCTTATTCTGGAATGTAAATACAGAAGCTGCAGGCTGTTATACTCAGAATTGGTCTAGTGAAAACAATTGGATTGTACCACCTATTTACTAAGTATTGAGAGCTATAAAACATTTCATTGCTTGTAAAGCTAAAAGTACTTAAATTGTACCGAAATGGATATCTGCGACCTATTGGCCATTCATTGTTGATAAAAATTTGAATTACAGAGATTACATATCTGATTTTATTGAATTTGAAAATACAAGCGGTATTTTTGTCAGTAGTTCAAATAAAAAATCCATTTTTGGCACTGAGCCTTTTATTGCTCCAGTATTGGCAGTAAAATTAGATTCGACAAGGATGACAAGGCCCTAGTGCACTAATGTGTATTGTAGCTGGCGAGGTTAAAGTTACATTGAGGCCCTAGTACACGAATGAGTATTGTAGCTGGCGAGGTTAAAGTGATGAGGCCCTAGTAATCGAATGTGTATTGTAGCTGGCGAGGTTAAAGTGACGAGACCCTAGTACACGAATGTGTATTGTAGCAGGCATGGTCGTTGTTGATAAGGCCCTAGTGTAAATATACATTGTAAAAAGCATGGTTGCATTCAACATAGCCCTTATGTATATATCATTGTAGCTGGCACGGTCAAATGAATATTGAACACGGTCTTGTTCTTTTTACAGTGGCAAGGTTCATTTGTATAAGTTTTTATTTTTTGACATTTTATAATATTGTTTGTTTCACTATTGCACATTTTTCAGATATTTTTTGAGTTGGTAGATTGATACAAGATTCTGATTATTCGGATGAACTATCTACATTGAAAGCTAGACTACCAGAGTATTGCTTGAGCTCACGTTCTCTGAACACTCGTAAAAAGTACCAGTATGCCTTTAATGCTTTC